ACGACGGGGGGAAGCGGCGCGGGAAGCGCCCGGGCCCCGCTGCGGGCACAGCCCTGCTACGGGCAGGGAGCTCCGAGCGCCATGTGGACAGCACAAAGCTTTTGTGAAACTGGACACGGTTATATAGCCAAAAAGCCACCGCACTAGTGGAGAAAAAGGCTTCATTTTACTCACTTCGGTTTTCCAGGCCAGCCAAGAGAAGCATTTACAAAGTCACCCTCATACCCTGCCCTTCTTGGTGTTAAAGCTTCACCCACCTCGACATGTTCCCAGCACCTTTGCTGTGCATTTCGAGAAGTGCAGGAGTCCTGCAAGTGCCCCTTCGCTCAAGTCAAAACAGCAGAACACAGCAGCAGGTTTGCAGCACGAGAGACCAAGTCACCTTATTATGTTTCATGCCTCCAAGGGCAGAACTGGTTGGATACAAGGATACAAAATAAGCCCCCAAATTTTCCATTTTGGGGTGTTTTCCAAACTGGATTCATATCTCTTACTGCAGGACAGTACTGTCTGGGTCTGTTCCTCTGGGCCAGGACAAAAGCACATTATGTGTTGCACTGTCAGGGCACCAGTGCACTGGTTATCCAAACATCAACCATTTCTAATATCAACAGAAAAGACTTTTCTATTACCTTGGGGAACCAAGATCGTCAATCTGTACTTTTACGGCACTTCCCCAATGTCTTAAACCATTTTACAAGCAGGGAACTGGGCAGAACCGTAGGTTATTTGCCACCTGCATCAGATGTGTCTATAGGCAGTTCCTCTCTGTGCTTTTCTTGATGCTGTCATTCCAATAGCTGAGACACTTTCACTAGAGCCGTACTTAAATCACTTCATTAGATACGAAAACAAAACAAAACAAAAACGCTATGGAAGCAAAAGGACAGCAGCCAAAAAATCCTCTTTCTCCACAGAAACTCTGTCCATCAGGTCACCGTGTTCTCCAACAGGGCCAAGGTTTCCCTGAGTAAACTGTGCTACCCGTTATCACCCTGGCCCCAAAAGGCAGATGAGAGGAAAATGCCTCCAGTTAGCACATCAACAGCACACCATGCCTGCAGGCCCTGGGCAGGAGGCAGTGTGTCCCAGCAAGGATTTGAAGCAGCAAGCATTAGCTTTCCATCCACCTGATAAATATCTACCTGCCTTCCCCCAAGCCCTCTGCTTTGCCTCATCTGATTAAAACAAAGCTGATCCTCACTGGTATTCACAGAGCAAGAGGGACTAAGGCTTTAATCAGCTCAAGCTATTAGCCACATAATGACTCTAAGAAACTAATGGTATATGCTAAAGAAACCAGAGTTCTCTCTCTCTCCTTATAAAAGAAAATGGAGAAAACTTGGCTTAAATCAGATTCATTTTGTTCCTCAGTTCTTTTATAAAGTTTGGGCCAAATAAAACCACGCAGGAATATATTTGTTGTTTAAATTCAGTCCACACTATGCACACTTTTATAATGATACCCCATATGTATCTCTGCAACAGGGAGATCTTCTGTACTTCTGTAATATTATGATTGTTACCTATTTATCTTTGGTTTCTGTAGGAATCCCCCCTGTGCTTGGAGCTGGAAGATGGAGCATTCTCAATGGCCACG